CCAACATTGCAGTTCCTACACCTAACCATCACCTCAGGGTTAACAATGGTGGCAGTGGTGGACCGGACATTGTGGCCACTGTCTAGCACAGTCACAGGCCGTACCTCTCCACGCCTCGATCTCAATCTGCTAGGATCAGATGCACTACGGCCAATGACCTCAGCCCGTTGAGCCAAAGCTGAAACTCTTCGACTCAAATCAAATGACCTCTGATGTAGGTTAGATGACCTCTGACTCAGATTAATATGTCCTAAATCAGTTGGCCTCTGAACCCTATCCTCATCCTCCTCTTCTTCTTCAATGATAATATCTCCAACCTCATCAGCCTGAGATGCCCCTCTAGGGGGTGGACTCCAAGCAAAAGGGCGAGGAGCCATGAATGGTGGAACGCTGTCACTTATGAAAGGAATATCATCACTATTAGGATTTGACTGTGTTGCTGATGGATTTTCCTCATTTTCTGATCCACTTGGCAGTAAGGTTGACTCGGTAACATGAGCAGCATACTGTCTGGCATAGTTCAGGCCCTCCTCATGAACAGGCGACCTTGATCGATCTCTCGCAGCACTGCTCTCCTGGGCATCAGCATACTCTGTAAAGGAAATCAAATTTACTATAGCCGGAACCAATTCCAATAGTTATTGTGAAAATTCATGGCATACCAAACATAAAACAAAATGTTCACAATACTTGACTGTTTTTGTGGCAAATTCTCTGCTACCAAGAAAACAAGCAATGAGAAGCTTGGAACTTTTCATCCCCTGCTGGATGGAGACCAACAAGAAACATGGAACTGTTCAGCCCCAATTTGTAACCAAGTAGAAACTTGAAAATTTTCAGCCGCTGCTGGAAATCAAAGAGAAGCTTGGAACTTTTCAGCCTCCACTGGTAACCAAGGAGAAAAGTTTCAGCCGCTGCTGGAAATCAAAGAGAAGCTTGGAACTTTTCAGCCTCCACTGGTAACCAAGGAGAAAATTTTCAGCCGCTGCTGGAAATCAAAGAGAAGCTTGGAACTTTTCAGCCTCCACTGGTAACCAAGGAGAAAAGTTTCAGCCACTGCTGGAAATCAAAGAGAAGCTTGGAACTTTTCAGCCTCCACTGGTAACCAAGGAGAAAAGTTTCAGCCACTGCTGGAAATCAAAGAGAAGCTTGGAACTTTTCAGCCTCCACTGGTAACCAAGGAGAAAAGTTTCAGCCACTGCTTGAAACTAACAACAAGCTCGATCACTGCAAACCATAAAGAAGCTTGAACCTTTTCAGCCCCTACATGTAACACAGGAGGGTTTTTCAGCAACCGCTTGAAACCAAGGAAGAAACATGGAATTTTTCAGTCCCCACTGGAATCTAAGGAGAAGTCTTTTAACTCCCGTTGGAAACCGATGAGAAGTTGGAACTTTTCAGAGTAACTGGTCTTATCAAGAGGTATACTCATGGCTCAAGAAGAAAAATTGGCGTTCTGCCTTAAAAATCTTTTTTCTAAAATTCTCAGAGTTAGGCAAGGCTCACTAATTTTGGCCTTAATGTTTAAGTGAAAATTTTGAATAAACATTCTTCAAGATAAACGGCCATATCACGTGCAGATCAGAACTGGCCATGCATATTATTGTTACACAACTACAAAGCAAACTACCTATATCTGTTTCAAAGTAAACAAGCTGATACAAAATTACGACGTGATGAAAGGTTGGTGGTAAGTAGTAAAACAACCTGACCCCAACCATGAAATGGTGGACCATAAATATTTCATTCAGCAGTTTTTTATGAGTAGATTGATAAGAATTTTCACTAAATTCCATTAAAATCCATTTTTTTACAGAAACTATAACAAACTGAACATTTCTTTCAATGACTTTTACACAGGTCTGGATTTTAAACACATAGCTTGCATTGACATTAAAGTCCCAACAAACTGACACTTCTGTCTATGACTACTAAAGCTACCTGAGTAAGACCCCTGAGCAGCTGAGCCCTCATTCATGACCCTGTCCCTCCTGTAGGCCTGAAAACACTCCACTAGGTTGTTGTATACACTGCGCAGCCGTTGGGTTCTTTGGGGGCGGGCCACAGGATTGTTCCTACCACTGAAACACAAATACTGAAAATGTAAACTGTTCTTCAGTTTAAACAGAAAATATTAATCTTGTGAGGCTTCACTGAAACATTTTAAACTGAAAATGTTAATTTGTGTGGCTTCATTGAAACAGATATATTCTTTGGTTGATAAAGAACTTACTTTATAAAAGAGATCCTGGAGTTACCTTGCTGTACCATAGTGTTGTTGGCTATACCTGTGTAGAGGTAATGGCCAATCGAATCAAACCGCACCAGTCTGAAAAATTTAAAAAAGAAATCTAAACCTCAAGTATGTATGGTTTGGGTACCTATGTACCCCCAATATTTTACTGAGAAAAACTGTCTCAGAAAATCAAAAGAGTGAAGACATTTAATAATGGAAGTGTCCATGATTCTAGAATTGTTTTCAAGATTTAAAAAATATCACCAATTTTTTAATATAGCTGTTTGAAAATTGACAAAAAACACGAAAATCGGTGATTTCCCCCATTTCGTGGGTACATTTTACTGAAGTTTACCATGAGCGCAGGCTTGAACAAGTTTCATATTGATGCTACAAAATAAAAATTTTAATAAAGTCATTGTGTTAAAAGGAAAAACTTGTTCAAGACTGCGCTCATATTAAAAAATTAATTTTTAAAATTATTTTTCGGCATTTTGATGCAAGATCGCGTGTAATATATGGTCCGGAACACGGAAAACGGACTTCGCCGCTATCGATATTTTTGTTTACTGCAGCAGAAACACTCAAATGATGGAGTTAAAACCAACAATTCCTTAATTTTTCACAACCAAGAAAGGTAAGATTTGTTCTTGTTAGCAAAAATTTTTAACTGATGTGATATAAAAAATGAATAGTTTTTTTATTCATCGGACGTCTGCAGCACTTGATTGCATCATCAGTTTTACGTCTGGTTGACAGATGCCCCAATACAGGTAGACGGCAAAAAATCCACTAACTTTGTGTGATGTTTGTTAAAAAATTTATTCAAATGTCATTTATTAACAATAAAATCTATTTAAAGGTATCTCAATACTTTTTAAAGTTCTGAAACAGTATTATTCTGTGCTGCCAAGCCCAGCTTGAATGTTGTCGATGTTGATCGCCGAACAAACGGTGAAGTGTCGTCTGGACTGAAGGCGAGCTCACAATAAATTCAAGAGTAATTCATTATAAACTTCAACAGAGACTGTGTGTCTTGTTGAAGTCCACTGAAAATGTCTTCTTTCTGTCTGAAAAATATTCGTTTTATTAACTAAGGAAAAATAGAAATGAAAGAGCGCATCTATTTATACTCATTGTCTTGGAAACAGCCAGAGAGAAAGCCAACATAGTCGGTGTATATATACTTTCAAAATAACTTCCGGTTGCATATGCTGTACCGTGGTGTAGTGGTATGAGGGTTGGCTCAGGAGCATAAGCACCGCAATTTTGGGATCCAATCCTGATGACCATTGATTTCATTTTTTTATTTTTTATTTTTTTTTTATATTCAATTTAAGATACAAAACTATAATACATATTTTCTAGCGAGAACTTTGCAACACATTATTATTTTTAACATTAATTAAAACTATTTGTGTAATTAATTAAGCTCTGACTTCAGATCCTGTTGACAACTCTTATTTATTTATTTTGATTTCAAATAAAAAAATACCTATTCTTAATTTAATTTAAAATGCAACCATGTAGTCTGTTCTTGAAAGTGCTTAGCAACATTTTATTTTTTTCACATTAAGAAAATAACATTTGTAATATTAATTAAACTGTGAGTTCAAATCTTGTTGACAATCCATATTTCACAAACATTTATCGACATTTGTGTGAGTTACAGTTGTGCTGGTGCCTGTTCCTTTTTATTATTTTTTCTTAATTTCATTGTAAAAAACTTAACAACATATTCACTAAATAATGTGTAATTATTGATCAATTATGACAAAAATATGTTATGTAATTTAAATATGAATATAATATCTATGTTTACAACTTTTAATTTCTTATACAATGTATAGAACACACATTCTTTTGAGTTCCACATAAAAAGTTGTCACTTTTATGTTTATATATTCTTTTTATACTTTTCTACGTTACCGTGATTCATATGGTTGGTATAAAGTATTAATATACTTATCAAATATTTCTTTCCAGATGCCAAAAGACATCCCATGTTGCTTGTGCTTCAAAAGGTGTAAACCAAATTCCAGAAGGCATATCCCACCTGGCGTGGCCTTTAAAAGATATGTGGAGCGATGTGTTGGCAGGGACGTGAGTAGCAATGACATGATATGCGGGACATGTACGGCACGAGTGTATAGGAGTCTTCCAATATTTCACCAGACACCTGTAAATACTAATGATGACGAGTACATTTCTCAGCCGCCAAAGAAAAAGACACTGTCGAGTCCTAAAACTATTAATTTGAACCTTCCCGCAACATCAAAATCTCATAAATCATGTATTGTATGTCATAAAGATGCAAACCAAAGAAACCATTTAACCAACATCCCACAACAAGGATCTACTCAGGCCTTCATAGTATGTGGTATATTCATACACCCCCATAGTAGATGTTGTGAGAGCCATATTGAGAACAATTATCTGAATGAAAATGCGTTGGCATTACTTGGAACCAAGAAATCAAATGACTGGTTTTCAAGAAGTGATATTACAGGTCTTCTCTCCGGAGTTCGAAGGATGCTGTCTACACATTCTGGACATTTGAATTTCGATGTGCCATCATTTTTAACCAATGAAGATTATGTAACATTGACAGGATTTACCAAACAGCAGTTTGACGAAATTGTCACTCATTTGACATCACTTAATAATTCAGCAGTTAGGTCAATCCGGACATGTCTAGCTGTGTTTCTCTTCAAATTACGTAGTGGATTGTCCAACAAGTTAATTGGTGTGTTATTTCATTTAACATATTCACAAATCCAGCGTATAGTGAACAGCACAAGGAATGCCTTAGTGGAAGATTTTGTACCAGATAACCTTGGATTTCAACACATATCTCATGGAGACTTTGTTCAAAACCACACTACAAATATAGCAAAATCATTGTTCCAACCAGGCGAAAACGAGGCTATTGTTGTTGCTGATGGCACCTATGTTTACATCCAGAAGAGTGCAGACTACAAATTCCAAAGGAGGTCCTATTCTATGCACAAGAACAGACCACTCGTTAAACCAATGATGCTTGTAGGAACAGATGGCTACATTCTGGATGTGCTCGGACCTTACCTGGCTGATGGCTCAAACAACGATGCCTCCATTACAAAACACATGCTTAAGGCAAATGAGGAAGCTAGCAAGTGGTTCAAACCCGGCGACATATTCATTGTAGACAGGGGGTTTAGGGACGCTGTGAGGTTTTTAGAAGACCGAGGTTTCGATGTGAAAATGCCCTTCTATCTTCAGAAAGGCTGCAAGCAGCACAGCACCGAAGAGGCGAACCTTTCACGTTTAGTCACAAAAGTCAGATGGGTGGTAGAAAGCGTGAATGGCAGGATAAAACAATGGAAACTGTTTGACAAAGTTGTTCCAAATACCCTGATCCCTTCTATTGGTGACTTTGTGAGAATCATCTGTGCTCTTATCAACAGGTTTAAAGAACCACTTGTGAAAACTGACGCAACATCAGAAGCACATTGCAGGGCAATGCTTGCAAAGTCCAAGGAACCAAATACAGTGAAAGCATTTTTGGAAAGCAACAACTTACTAAATAAGAGAACTGTTTATCAAAAGCTGGAAGCAGAAGACTTGATGGACTTCCCTAAACTTTCCATGGATGACTTACGAAACATCACCATGGGAGTTTATCAACTTAAACAGGCTCCAAGTTATACAAAGGAGCACTGTGTTGAAGATGGACTGTATGAGTTGCTGGTCTTCTCAGAAAACCCTAATCTGATCAAGTTAAAAATACAGTCTCGACACTGTAACAGCAGAGCACATTCTTTGTGGATTGAGTATGACTCACTCTCTGATGATCCCATCAAAGGTTGGTACTGCACTTGTAAAGTAGGCTCAAGAGTGGTCGGTTGCTGTGCCCACATTGCAAGTGCATTGTGGTTTCTAGGATATGAACGCTTCCAAGGCAAATCATCTGGGGCAGTGACTATTTCGACAAAGTCTTTGGCTGATGCAGCTGACATTCCAACAACAGATTCCGACACGGATGAGGAGTATCCAGAGGAATAAACTGTAACACTATATGTATTTAAAGTAGATATAATTTGAAGTCGCTTATCACTTGTTCATTTTCATGTTTGTTAAATTCTGTGAACAAAACCAAAGGTTATACATTGATTATATGCTTCGAATATGCTTTGCTTTCAAAAGCACCAGTGCAGAAGTATGAAGCAAAATAGAAACCGATAACAGCTTCAGGTGATGTTCTTGCTATGTGATAGACTTTGTTGTACACTTTGATTAATAATCAATTTTTTATATTGTGTACACTAGTATACCTTTATAACAAAAATGTTTTACCAATGAAATTATGTGATAAGTGTTTCGCTTTCAACAAGTAACAAGTGGAAAAATATTGTAACAGAAAAGAATATGTTAACAATTACAGGTATGCTATGTGATAGACTCTGTTGCTAGGGTACTAACTTTGATCTGTATCAAAATGTTTATATTATACATATTTCGTAAGAAAAGGTTAGTCCATGTAAAGTGATAATGATCTGTTTTCATTAAATAACGTACAATAAAAAACATTGAAACAGTATTAAAAAAAATAACAGTTTAGGTCATATTCTTGCCATGTGTAAGAATACTTTGCTAAGGCACCAACTTTGATCAATACTCTAATATCTATATTGTGATACCTTTATCAGAAAGTTTAGCTACTGAAAACATGAGAAATATTTTGTTTTCATTAAGTACAGCAGAAGAAAAATCTTGAAACTGGAAAGAAAATGTTGTTATCAATATAAGGTATTGTTGTTGCTATGCGACACATTCTGTTGCTAGGGAAATTATTGTCACTTCCCAAATGTTTGCATTATAATACCTTTGTAAAAAAAGTTAGTCCATATAATTATGTCACATATGCTATGATTTGTTTCCATTACACAAGTTCGGACGATAGAAAATGTTGTTACCAGTAATAAATCTTATAGCCATGCCGTTGCTATGTGATATAATTCGTTGCTAAGGTACCAAATGTAAATATATTAAAAGTTTAATTTAAGCCTTTGCTAGCAAAACCCATTAGTTGATAACTTCCATAAGTGATTTAATTACATCAATATTAAGCAGCATATTTGTATGATAATTAAAAGTTACAGAATCTTTTTGTAATGCTTTGTGTCATTTTTCTCTTAAAAAATACTGGTGTGACACCTATATTTGAAGTGCCGCTACGCATGCGCCGAGAAAGAAAACATGCTAAAATCCCCCAATTCATTAATTACGTTACTATCCTTACTCAGTATAGGTATTTCATCAAATTTGAAGAGGGGGCCAAATTTGACCCAAATCATACATACTCCTTTACCAATTTAAGTAAAAACTGCAAATATAACTTATAAAGATATGATCTTTACAAACGTGAGGAGGTAAGAATTTGCCAGAAAATGAAGAACCACATATAGTTTGTTTTGTAATAATTTGATCCCTCAAATATTCATGTAACTGTACGATCATTGTCGTCTTAGTCCTCGTCATTGTGATAACCTACTGATATTGCATAGGAAAACTAAAATCGGACTACAAGTAATGATATTTGATTTATAATCACAATTATAATACCTTTAGTTTCCTACAACAGGCTAAGAATCAAAATGATTAACATTTAGACCATTAATTTGGTTTTTATCTGTTCTTTTATGAAATAAGATAAATAAATATTTTAACAAGAATCTGCACACACTGTTAAGTCTGTTCATCCTCTGAATTTCTTTAAAGTTACATATATTTGATATATTTACAAACTCATACCTGTAAGTCCCATATCCTGACCTCTCCTGCCAAACAGCCAGAGGCAAGAATTTGATTGGACGAGGGATGGAAGGCAAGGCACCATGGTGTACGAGGGTGGCCTGACAGGACATGGGTACACTTTCCAGTTGACAGCTCGGTCACTCGTACCGTATGGTCACCATGAGTGGATGCTACCTTTGTCCTGTTAAAGATCAAACAAACAATATCATTCATCAGATGTTAAATTCACTAGTCAGTGCATAAATATTCTCCTTGTGTTAATGAAAGTTAAAACTAACATTGGTCTTGTCATGTTGAAGTGGACAATGTGGGCTTTCATTTTTTTCTGAATAATCTTTTAGCTTTGTGTTGCAGATTACTATTTGGGCAGCCTCGAATCTGTGGCTATGTACCAAAATCTAGCTTTACAGGAGGTGAAATTTTCATAGTGTTTACACATGGTCATGTAGTGAAGAATTTGCTAAAATGTAAGTAGTTTGTTACCATGACAATGTTGTTGATTCTAAGACAGGTGTTCAGAAATAAATTTCTTCTATAAAGTTGAAGTGTTAGGTTGGAATTAGCAGTATTTTTGCATTTTTAGCATTTTTTCAGTTGATAACCATGGCAATGTTGGGAGATCAGAGGACATTTTTGATTTACTCAAATATTATCTCACTTCTATTAATGTAGTGCATAAATATATATATATACATGTAATGATGTATTTTTCATCACCAATCTGCTATACCTCTATATCTCAAACATGAACAATAATTTCGGGAAAAATGCAAGGCAACTGTTTCCTGCTACCTTGAATCCTATGAAAAGTTTAATCTTACAGCCAAGCTTACAATAAACTTAAAACTCATGCATAAAAACATGGAACACCTGATACCTGAAAGTTTTTTATTGGTCAGTGAATATTTATAGACTATATCTGACCACCAATCCCAGATCAAGGAATTCACACACAAACTTTTATGAAGTAGAAAATGAGGCATATAACCATATTTTGCCAAAGCCAATGAAACACTCCGATTTTTATTCTCCCTTTCCTCGCTTTACCATTTTATTACTCTTCTGTGATTTTAGTTTCTGTTTTTCTCTACATGTTGACACTGACATTAAATAGATTTGCCTGAATTTATGACTGTGAAGCACTACAGGAAGTGTTTATGGGCCATTATAAGAGCAGTGTACCCACCAATAAAGAGCCCACAATCAGCTGGTCAGTTGTTATGACCACTGGTAAAGGACTAATCTGATTCTAAAACACATTAACTCAGCATTACTCACTTGACAACTGCAGTTGAAAAGTTGAACAACAAATTAATTTCATGTCAAACTCAAAAATGTGCATGACAGTGGTAACCGATCAACTGCAGTTGAAGAGTCAAGTAATGAATAATATGCCTTTCTTTTGCCATAGAGAATGGGATGAGGGAGAAGGGCACAGATGGGAAGGGGGAGTATGTTTAGAAAGAGTTAAGAAAGTAAGAGAATAAGTCGAAAAAAGACAAAGAAAAAGGATATATGAATGGGGGTGGGAGTAGGGTGTGTGGAGGGTGGGGGTGAAATAGGGACTGCTTTAAGATCCAGAGAAATGAAGAACAAGAAAACCCAGAGAGAACTTACGTGTCCACAAATGAGTGAATCTTTTCTCTTTATTCCTTTCATTTGTTCTAATGATAGGTGAATTAATCATTCAACGGGGAAATACATTTTTTTTCCTTAAATGTCAATCAAGTATGCAAATAAGCCATTGTGATCTTCAAATCACCCTTAATCATTCTGGCACAATGGCAAGTTAAGGTAAAACGAAATGTATATATGAAATTTGAGTAATCGCCTTCCAATGTAGCTTACAAAATAGTAATCAAAATATTGAAGCAAGTTGGCTGGGAAGAGTAAATTGTAGAGTGACAGGAGGGAGCAAAGAAGTGATAATTATCAATGCCAGTCAAGTCTTTCTGGAGAAATAACTGTCATATGTTGTTGACTGAATAATTAACTTATCAGCATAAAGTGATGACAAGTCAGATTAAATAGGCAGAAGCTAGACCAGACAGAGTTCACAAGCTTATCTGCTAACACAACTATCAGAATTAGTCTCCAGACACAGGAGTTGATGGAAATTGTACATCCATTTCATTAGTCCTATGGGGTAGGGTGGATAAGGATGGATAGGGAAGTGGACTGGGTACCTGTCCCTGATAAAACTGCAGGATAGGGTAGATAGGGAAGTGGACTTGGTACCTGTCCCTGTTAAAACTGCAGGATAGGGTAGATAGGGAAGTGGACTTGGTACCTGTCCCTGATAAAACTGCAGGATAGGAAAGATAGGGAAGTGGACTTGGTACCTGTCCCTGTTAAAACTGCAGGATAGGAAAGATAGGGAAGTGGACTTGGTACCTGTCCCTGTTAAAACTGCAGGATAGGGTAGATAGGGAAGTGGACTTGGTACCTGTCCCTGTTAAAACTGCAGGATAGGATGGATAGGGAAGTGGACTGGGTACCTGTCCCTGATAAAACTGCAAGATAGGAAAGATAGGGAAGTGGACTGGGTACCTGTCCCTGATAAAACTGCAGGATAGGATGGATAGGGAAGTGGACTGGGTACCTGTCCCTGTTAAAACTGCAGGATAGGATGGATAGGGAAGTGGACTGGGTACCTGTCCCTGTTAAAACTGCAAGATAGGAAAGATAGGGAAGTGGACTGGGTACCTGTCCCTGATAAAACTGCAAGATAGGAAAGATAGGGAAGTGGACTGGGTACCTGTCCCTGTTAAAACTGCAAGATAGGAAAGATAGGGAAGTGGACTGGGTACCTGTCCCTGATAAAACTGCAGGATAGGATGGATAGGGAAGTGGACTTGGTATTTAACAATATTAATATTAGAACTAGGGAATAAGGTTGATAGGGAAGTGGAAGGGCTATTAACCCATACCAGAACTTGTTGATAGGGTGGTAGACAAGCTACCAGCCCTTATCTAGCTGTATTAGTCCACTACATGCTAGTTTTCTTCCCTTCATTTGAAAATGGTCAAATTTTCACTTTCTTTTCTATGGTATATTTGATGTTCTAGAGACAGGGGCCAGTCTGGGAGGAAGAGGAAAGAAGGACAAGTCCAGCTCTTGTTCTTTACATAGTATAAAGTGTTCAATGGCTTGGAGACAGTGATCAAATTAGTGTACAATGAAAGGTATTACATAACTATTGTTAAACACTTTCTAACATTTACTGAATGAGGTTGGATAGGAATCACAGACTTACAAAAGGAACTATTTTATGATACATAAAGGTAATGGATATTAACTTTATTAATGCATGACAAATTCATTAATACTTCTATTTTCTGTATTATATAAAATTGATTTCCAACAACTCTAATTGATTGTAGAGGTGACCTTTCACCCCACCCCTTCCAACACACCACCCCTTCCCACAAACCACTCCATGAGCAAAAAATTACATATGTATCTTGAATGCTGGAAAATCATGTAAGCATAATTAATAGCACTCAAAAAGACCGTCAATCATTTGATACATTCTGTCTTATTTTTTTTGATTATTTAATTATATAAATTTATCGAAAATATCTGTATAACTAGAGTTTTAAAGTTTTGGGACTATATCGATAATTTTCTTCATATTTAGAGAAAATGCACACTGAATAAGTGCTAATGTATACAGCGCCACTAACTACCATAGAAGCTGCTCCATCAATCAGAATGACAGGTTACAACAAATTAATGTGAGG